GCTCGGTATGCCCGGAGAGCTTGCAGGCTAGGCAGCGGATGGGATCCCTGCAAGCGACGGAGTGGTGATGTTGCGGAGCAAGGCAACGAGAGCAGAGCCCCTCCGTGCGCCTTTTGAAGCGGAGCTGGCTCGCCCGACGCTGCTCTTCGAGGTGGAGAGGCGTGGGATGGGAAGAGGATGCAGCAGGGTGGCTTGAAGGTGCGTCCCGTCGAGGACGGCGCGGGCGGCGCACAGCAGTCCATCCGGCCTCCTCCCGAGGCGAGGATGGGACGTCGTCCGACGCGCGTGGACAGCCTGGAGGCACGAAGACTTGCTGGCCGTAGCCCGGCGGGGTGATGATGGCTGAGCGTAGGCGAGAGGCTTCATTGAAGACGCCGGGCGTCGCAGATGCCGGTGGGTGCGAGGTCACCCCGCCATGAATGCGTACGGCGCCTTGAATGCAGGCAAAGGGGGCCAGAACGCCGACAAGGCCCAGGGAGGGGGGCAACGAATCCGGAACCATCTCGTCCAGATCCCCGGACAGGCGCGGAAAGCACGCAACTGAGGAGGACGCAGACATGACCGCAGCGACCGGATCCGACGCGGAGGCAGCAGAGCGCACAGGCCGGGGGGCCCAGCTCAGATCCGAAGCCAAGACCAGCACAGAAGACCGCAGACGCAGCCGCTGCTCCTCGGAGAAGAACCACGGGGCCCCAGGGGCGAGACGGACCGGCCGGAAGGGAGGGGGAGGCAGCGGGGCGGCCGGGGTTGGACGGGGCGCCGGCGCGGCGGCCACGCCCACGGACGAGGCCGAGAGGAGCGTGGGGCTTCCCAACGGATACATCAGACTCCCGTGCCTACAAATATATGTTTGTTTCTTTAAGACTGAGATTGTTAGTGGCATAATAACATGTTAATTAGACATATTCACGTGGTTTGACTTTGATTTACTATTTTGATTAAGATTCACATGTTTTCCTATTCATCTGAACCAAACATGCTCTAAATGTTTATTCTGCAATTTTTTTATGTTTTCTAATCCTCTTATTCACACACATCTATTCCAATGTAATTCCGGCGACTTTTTTTTCCTTTCCTATGTTTTAGAATCTTGTAAAAAACGAAGGAGGCCTAAAATAAAGGTGCATGCAATGGTCTCTGGCAGTTTAGCCTATATACATGCGATGGACGTACAGTGGTGACCGCTTTACAACGGCATGAATGTGGGTAGCAGGCGTCGGGCGGGAACGCACGCGAAAAGGGATGGGGGTTTGGGTGGCGAGGGTGGTCAGAAGCAGACGTATGTGTTGTCCAGATGCCCGCAAAGCACCCCATGTTTACCTTTGGTTTACGGGAGAAAGTGCGTCCGAACCGTGTTGCAGACTCATGCAAGACCGCATTGAATGACATAATACGTCCAGACCGCGCGACCTGGGCGGTTAAGGGCGGCTTGAGGGTCAGCGTTGAACATGCCCTAATATACCATCTTCTTTTCCCTTTCTTCTTTGGCCATATTAGTTACGTAGGAAGGTGGTCATAGTTGCGCTCAAGCTCATATAGAGTGTTTAAGTTGTGTCGAACATAGTGTTAAAGGTAGGTTATAATTGGACCTGTAGTAGTATTGTGTTTAGATAGGATATGAAGTCGTGTCCTAATAGGACACTTGTATCCTAGGCCTCATATATAGTGGGGGTAGACCCACACGATTTAAATTATGCCAACATAATAGCACAGGAACGCAGGGGAAGCCGGCGGCGTGTGCCGGCGTTCAGGGCAACCTGGCGCGGTATTGTCGCGGTATCATGGGGAGGAGCGCCCATAGTCAGGCCCCGGGATGTGGCCATATTGATGAACCTCTTTAACAAATCTCGGTGTCGTGCTCGTGTGATTGCTTGGTCCTCAGATGATTGACGGTAATGCTTCGGATTTATTCTAACAAGTGGTAGCAGAGCAAGATTACGAGGAGGCTGCAGATTGTTGATCCACAGAAAGAATCAAGTTCAAGATGCAGCCGGTTGCGGTGTGATTTTCGGCAGGATTGAAGAAAGCATATCGTGGAAGAATCAATCGTCGGCGAGATCGGAAGAATCGATATGGCTCACAATCGCGTGGATGCCGAGTTGAATACTTGGAGTCGGCGAGGTTGGTACGTGGCCCGCGGCCACGCGGACAGGCCCAAGCGGCGGAAGGACGTGTGCAGGGGGCAGGTGAGCATGGACTCGATTGGTCGCCGGACGTGCAGATTTTAGCGATAAGTGGAGCAAACAGAAACAACAAGGAAACGTACGTGTGTACTGAGATTTGTTTTGGACAAAAAGGAGACCGGGTCTCCACTACTGACACGGAGATAAGCAGTCAAATCAATCGGCGAAAGAAATCCATCAAGGGATATGCATCCATCGGAATGGCACAGCGTTGGCAAAGCAAGGCAACAACCAGCATTGTAATTAGTGCCAAGGGAGCTGCCCATCGCGTGAAGACCAGGAGGTCTTGTTTGGCTCGAGTTGTGCACGGAAGTGCTTGTGTACTTCGGCGTCGCGGGGATAGCTTAAGTATTTTTTTCGCAGGGTCAGTTATATAAAGAACCATGGCGTCAACGGGTACCAGGTTTGAGATGGAGAAGTTAAACGGAACTAGAAGCTTTGGGTTATGGCAAACAAGGGTGAAAAATTTATTGGTGCAAGAAGGAGGCTTGAAGGCGTTGCAGCAAGTCATGTCAGCTAAGATGAAATTATCATGTGATGGATGGAAATTCTTGGAAGACGATTTGTGAGCCTCGAGCGTGTCATGTAGTCGGACAAGTTCGACTGGGTTGGACTGGATAGTCTGACGGATCAACGCAAGTCAGTTGAAACAGAAGACGATGGTGGGATCGGCGACAACGACATAGGAGCATGATGCTGATGGTGACCGACTTCTGGGCGTGGAAACACGGGGCGCAGGCCCCGAGGGTTTGTGTGGCTTTGACAAGACTATGGCGCGGGGTTGATTCAAGATAGTGCGCACATGAGAGCTTGAAGTCGACGGGGCGCGAGGGTGGACTGATCATCTACCATGAAGTCATGTTGAAGGTGGAGCTGGATTGAGGGGCTACGATGTAAGGATCTGGGGAATCGAAGCAAGTGGAGTCATATGGAGTCTTTGGAGTAGCAGCGGTACTCATGGGATAAGCTCAAGTCCAATGTACATAAAAGTTTGACGCATTGACGAATTCAAGGTGGTGGAGAATATTCGTCAAGTTGGAGTTTGTTAGAGTTGTGTCGAATATAGTGTACAAGGTAGGTTATAGTTGGACTTGTAGTAATATTGTGTTTAGATAGGATAAGAAGTCGTGTCCTAATAGGACACTTGTAGTTTAGGCCTCATATATAGTGGGGGTAGACACACGATATAAATTATGCCAACATAACCTGGTGCGCTATTGTCGCGGTATCATGGGGAGGAGCGCACATAGTCAGGCCCCGGGGACGTAGCCATATTGGTGAATCTCGTTAACAAATCTCGCTGTCGTGTTCGTGTGGTTGCTTGATCCTAGGATGATCGACGGTATGCCTCAGATTTATTCTAACATAGAATTTCATAGATGGGGGCTTCGCGAGCCCGTTTCGGGCTTGGCTGGGCCAGGGGTGGCCCGGTTTGCCCCTGTGCTGCGTCCGGCCGGATCCCGCCGGGGGCGGTGGAGGATGTCCCCTCCCGCGGGGCTGCTGATGTTGCCGCTCCTGGTTCCCGGTTGCGTCGTCTTGTTTCCATCGGTCCCGTTTCGTTTGCCATGGTGAGACGGCGATGGAGACTGCTCGACCGTGGTGGCGCAAGTTGGTGGGCGGTGTGTTTGGTGGTGCGGGATGGATCGTCTGGGGTCGTGGTTGGTTGGTGGTCGGGAGAAATCCTTGTCGGCAGGGCCGGCACCGACGCGTTGACGCTCGTGGGCGCCACCGTGCCTTCCTGAAGGGCGTCGGGCATACCCCTTCCACCTCACCCCTCGCGTACCGGGGGAAACCCTAGGACATGTCCAGGCAACAGCGTCGTCATCGTCGCGATCCTTCTTGAGGGTGTTGTTTGGTATGCGGCGGTCTAGAGTGCTAGGAGCATGATGGTTTATCCGGTGGGCGCGGCGGTTGCGGGTCCTCATCGTTTTCGTTGATCCGCCGTTGTTGGCATTATTTTCTCTTCAGTTCCTCTTTTTGTTTTTTTTGGTCTTGCTTGTGCTGAGGCCCCAGCATTTGTATCGTGTGGTTGTTGCTTTATAATATAAAGCGGGGGGCAATCCTTTTTCGGTAAAAGTGGTAGATGTAATCTTGAATGACGAAGCAACGATGGAATGCAGGCCGGAGCTGGTGAGAGTGGTTGGGGAATGAGGTTAATTAGGAAGGGTTTGATCGTGTTTCCTTTAATTAGCAAGTGAGTGGGCAGGAAGAAAACTGTGTCGAGCTATTTGTCTGTTTGTGTGCATTTCGTGGATGGATTCTTTTGTGGTCCTCCACTTCAATCGATAAGGACAAACAATTGGTGGTCATTTGCATCTAGAACCATTTTTTTTTGCCAGCCATTTGATCGTGTTTAGATGCAACTTGATTTGTTTGCCTCTTGGATGAAATATAAATATTCCTAAGGCCGGCCATCTTGACGCTTACATTCTATATAATTCTAAAGAGAGTAGGTATAAGTTGAATGGAACAACTATAGAATTCACATGCATGAGGCCAGAGCTAGAGACAGCAACGGGAGGGTGGTTAGCATGGGATAATAATGAAATAAAGATGAAAGCTTGATCGATTGCTCCAACCAGCTGTTGGGAGCCACGTACGCCTGAAAACGATGGAATTTTAGCTAGTTTCTGTTTACTAACTATGGTCTTGCAGAACCTTTCCTGCCTTCACTGTCCTTCTGCCTCCCTCACCTCCTCAATAGTCAGTAGTCAGTACTATACAACCTCACCAGTCATCACACAAGCGGAGCAAACAGCTCTGTCGTAGACGCCTACACACTACACCCGCCGCCTGTAGATCCGGTCGAGAGGAGCCATGCAGGTTGCAACTGGGGCGCTGATCCCCCTCCTCCGCAAGCTCGGCGACCTGCTCGTGGCCGAATTCGCCCTCGGCGAGCGGGTGAAGAAGCGTGTCAAGTCCCTCCTGACGGAGCTGGAGATGATGTACGTTGTCCTCCGCAAGATGGATGACGTGCCCGCGGACGAGCTCGACGAGCAGGTCCGGATCTGGGCGGGCAAGGTCCGGGAGCTCTCCTACAACATGGAGGACGCCGTGGACACCTACATGGTCAGCGTGTATGACGGCAGCCATGGTGACCTTGGCCCCAATAATATGAAGAATAGAGTCAAGAAGTTCTTCAAGCGGACGAAGAAGCTGTTCAGCAAAGGGAAGGCACTTCATCAAATCTCTGACGCCATCCAAGATGCTCAGGAGCTCTCCAAGCAGTTGGATGAGCTCCGTCAAAGGTACGCGCTTGAGGCATGCGCCGCTGGTATGGGGAATATCATTGACCCTCGCCTAAAGGCCGTGTATAAAGATATCAAAGAGCTTGTGGGAATCAAGGGAAGACGGGATGAGTTAATCAACCAGCTATTGGATGGGGATAGGATGTCCATGCAGCAACTCAAGATGATGTCTATCGTTGGATTTGGCGGGTTGGGGAAGACAACCCTCGCCAGAGCAGTGTATGACAAGATCAGAGTGCAGTTCGACCGTGGGGCATTTGTTTCGGTCTCTCGGAATCCTAACATAAGAATGACTTTCAAGAAGTTGTTGTATGGACTTGACAATATTAAATTTGCGAACATCAACGAAGCTGTTAGGGACGACGAACAACTCATCGATGAGCTGAGAGCATTTCTTCAGGATAAGAGGTATGGATTCATTGATATAAATTCCAGCCTAGCACCAACCCATCATTGCTAAGATATACACCTCCCTATCAATAAATTACTGGACAAAGAGAAACCTAGTTATGTCTTCCTTGACATGTGTACTAACACTCTAAGAAAATCACACAGGTACTTAATCGTGATTGATGACGTATGGGATGAAGAAGCATGGGAAATTATCAAGTGTGCTTTCTCTAAGAGCGATCTTGGTAGTCGAGTAATAGTAACAACACGCGTAATCAGTGTCTCTAAAGCATGTTGTCCATCTAGTGATGATATTATTCATAAGATGAAACCTCTTAATAATGATGACTCCAAAAGGCTCTTCTACAAAAGAATATTTTCTCAAGGAGGTCAATGTCCTATTGAATTTGAGCAAGTATCTAGAGAAATTTTGAAGAAATGTGCTGGAGTACCACTAGCAATCATTACCATATCTAGTCTTTTAGCCAATAATGATCAACAGATAAATCCAAAGTATCAATGGGACAAGATACTCAATTCTATAGGCCATGGACTTGCAGAAGGTGGTACTATAAAGGATATGCAGAGAATACTATCATTTAGTTATTACGATCTACCCTCACATCTAAAGACTTGTTTGTTATATCTTAGTGTATTCCTAGAAGATCATGAGATAAGGAGAGACCGGTTGATATGGAGGTGGATAGCTGAAGGCTTTATCCAAGGTGGAGAACAAGAAATTAGACTATTTGAAATTGGAGAGAGATCTTTCAGCGAGCTGATAAACAGAAACTTGATTCAACCAATAGATGTTAACATTGATGTTGAATATAGGACGGAAGGTTGCCGCGTACATGATATGGTACATGATCTCATATGTTCTATGTCGAGTAAACAAAATTTTGTTACTATATTGGATGGTACTAAGAAAAGAAAAAACAATTCAGATGTCATGGTTCGCAGGTTATCCTTTCAAAGTAGCATGTCTGAGCTCACAAACCATCAGATCGATGCCACAGGTATGTCAAAGTTGAGGTCTGTTACTCTCTTTAGAACTGATGATGGTCTGATTCGGACTCTTCCAAACTTCCAACTTCTGCGCGTATTGGATTTAGAAGGTTGTGATCTTGAGGAAATCAGCCACATATGTATTGAGAATTTATTACACCTGAGGTACCTAGGGCTTCGCAATACCTATGTTGGTATTCTCGAGATGGAAATAGGGAAACTGCAATTTCTGCAAACACTGGACTTAAGAATATATACATTTGATGAGGTGTGATCAAGTGTTGCTCTGCTAGGACATTTGATGTGCCTATATATTTATACGTATATTCGGTTGCCAGTTGGGATAGGGAACTTGGTGTCCTTAGAAGAGCTGAGTATAGTGCCTGTGGGTGGCATAGATGTGATCAAGAAAGAGCTAGGGAAGCTGGTGGAGCTGAGGGTGCTTGGACTTCAATGGATTGGAGACAACGAGACTGCCTGTAATTCTTTGTTGGTGTCCCTGGAGAATCTGCAGAAATTGCATAAGCTATCTATTTATAGTAATGGGGGTGCTAGGTCATTAGATGTCATCTGGGACACCTTGGTGCCCCCTCCACACCTCCACACCCTTGTGTTTCATCGTTGTACCTTGACATTGCCTAGATGGATTAATTCATCATCGTTCCCCGTCCTCTCTCGCTTGGATGTAGAAGTGGATAGAGTGAGGCCAGAGGTCGACATTTAGGTCCTTGGGAAACTGCCTACTCTTTGGGATCTCAACGTAACAACCACCAGAGCCCAATACACTCATCCTACAAGGTTCATCATTGACGATGATGCATTCCCTTGCCTGGAAAAGTGTGTATTCTATGGATTTCAGACAGGGCCATCTATGTTTCCACGAGGATCTATGCCCAAGCTTGAATTCCTTTTCTTCTGTGCTCGAGCGTCGCACATCTCCGATGGTGAATTGGACGTCGACATGCAACACCTCCCTTCTCTCCAAAATGTCCTCGTTACTCTTTGGGATGAGGAAAATTGTTTGCCAGCGGTGCAGAAAGCGGTTGATATGTTGACGCTCGCATTGGATGAACATCCCAACCGTCCCACCCTTTTTTGCCATCAGATACGTAAGTCTTTTTCTCTCCCGCAGCCAAGCTTCTCTACACTTTGACATCATTAGCTTGCTTAATTGTCTCTGGCACCACAATGCAAATTAAGGCTCATTCTTTTTTCTTTGTTTCAAATATTTACCCAAAGCACTGCAAGAAGAGGACGCGGAAGAAGAAGAGGGGTCAGCAACAGTGTCACCATGAACTACTCAGAATACAATATAGTCGTGCTGTAGAACAAACCCTATCGATTCAAATCTGCAGGTAAGCAGCCCATCTCCTGTTAGATTTAACCTTGTTGTATACGTCTAGTCTCATGTTAATTGTGTTTGCATGATGTTAATTTTAGTACTGGAGTAAGTTCTAACAAGTTGTATGCATCTAATAATAGCAGAGTGGCCAGTCGACAGAGAGCGCATCATGCAGCGGTAGGGAGAGTGCGGTGCAATGGGTGGATTGTCAGCCATTAGTCAGGCATGCGTGCACAAATATTGGTGGTCAACTGTTTGTTAGTATCTGGCTACATGTACGGAAAGAAAACCAGCTGAGCCGTGTGGCCGTTGCCTGAGGTCCGGCATACTAGTTTTTTTTTTATGGATGAAGGAACTTTATTCATCGAAAGCCACAATTTGTGGGATACAAGGATTATGGGGTTGTATGCGCAACAAGTGGCGCCCCTGAGCGAACTTAAGAGAAAATCTAGTTAAGCTATGAGCATCATTGTTTGTTAACCGACCTTCAAAAACAATTTTAGTATTGAAATTTGCCACCCTTGCGTTTATCTCTTCTATTATGGTGCCATACGTTCCTCTGCCTATTTGGTTGATATCACTCACGACTTGTTTCGCATCTGAAGCAATGATGAAGTTTTGAAGAGCCAAGTCTTCCGCAAGAGCATATGCTTCTCTGCATGCAATTGTCTCTAGAGTTGCTGCATCTCACTAGTAGAAAATGGCCCATTTGTCCCGGTTCATAAGACCCATTAGTCCCGTTTTCCAAACCGGGACTAAAGGGTCGGTACTAAAGGCCCCCCCCCCTTTAGTCCTGGTTGTGTTATGAACCGGGACTAAAGGCCCTCCACGTGGCCGCTCTATGGAGCTCCAACTTTAGTCCCGGTTGGTAACACACCAACCGGGACTAACGGAATTTTTTTTGAAATTTTATTTTTTTGAATTTTTTTGACTTCTTTTATTTTTCCTTATTTTCAAATTTACGAATTATTTGATAATTCAACCTCTAATCACCCCTCATCACTTCTTAATTATGAACCACCCATTCCAAATCGTGTAACTTCCCGGCCGGTTACCCATCCTCTCACTACTCCAGCCTGAGCATGCTTAACTTTCGAGTTCAACTCTTCAGGGTTAATATGATTGACAGCTTAGTATTTTCTGGAAAACAACAAGTGCAGCTGTCAATCATATTAACCATGAGCACGCTTAACTTTCGAGTTCTATTCCCCCTAGTGCTCCCTCTTACCCCCTTTTTTCACATGGGAGGTAAGATGATAAGAGTTAATCAGACCACAAATTAATAAGATCAATGGCTCCGATCTATTATATAATCTTACCTTTCATGTGAAAAGAGGGGGTAAGAGGGAGCATGTTAAAAGTAAAACTGCTCATCTGCTCTATAGGCGGCGGATGGAGTGTGTAGGCGTGTACGACAGTTGATAGAGCTGTTTGCTCGGGTTATCTGGTGACTGGTGAGGCAGTAGTACCGACGACTGACTATTGAGGAGGTCAGGGAGGGAGGTAGCCAAGACAGACTCATGTCCCATCTGGTTTCATTTTCTGGGATAACTAGGGGCAATGGCAACTACTCCACGCTTTATTTGCTCCTTGGTCTCCGTACCACGCTCTCTCAGCCGAAGCGCGTGGCAAGGCAAATTAAGAGACCTGAGTAACGTTAAGATTTGCATATGATGGAACAGTTTGCGAAAATATCAACCATGTAGAAAAGGCCGGGAATGAGCTGGTATTTGCACAAACTGTTACAACATTCTACTTCTAAAATTTTCAAAAGTTTGTTTCGTGGAAAGTGAAAGCAGGAACTCTGGAAAGTGAAAGCAGGAAAGGTTCCGCAAGACCATAATTGTTCAAGAAGTAAACATATAAACTAATTAAAATTCCATCATTTTCAGGCGTACGTGGCTCCTCGCTGTCTGGACCAGTCGATCAAGGTTTCTTCTTTATTTCATTATTATCCCATGCTAACCACCCTCATATTGCTGTCTCTAGCTAGCTCTATCCTCATGCATGCAAATTACATGGTTGTCTCAATTCTCATTCAAGTTTACACCTACTCTTTGGAATGTAAGCATCAAGATGGCAGGCCTTAGGAATATTTATATTTCATCCAAGAGGCAAAGAAATCAAATTGCATAGCACCATCGAATGGCCGGCCAAAAATGGAGAAGAGAAATGAGTCAAGATGCAAATGACCACCAATAGTTTGTCCTTATCGATTGAAGTGGAGGACTACAAAAGAATACATCCACAAACGACACACAAACAGACAAATAGCTCCACACAGTTTTTCATTCTCCCCACCCACTTGCTTAAAGAAACACGATCAAGACCTTGCTAACCTCATTCCCCAACCACTCTCACCAGCTCCGGCCTTATGCATGTGATTTCCATCGGTGCCTCGTCGTTCACGATTACATCTACCTAACTAATTTGACCAAAGAAGACAGAAGATGCTATATTAGCCTCTACCTCGCCAGTTAAAATGCCTAATTCAAAGCAACAGCAGGATCTGTCTTGTCTTGTTACAAATATCACCACCAATATACCTCCATCACATGTATATACGCTAAACTGGTCAAGTCCATCACGTGCACCTTGATTTCAGGACTCCTTCAGTTTACAGGATTCTAAAAACACAGGAAAAGAAAAAAACACAGGAATTAGATAGGAATAGATGTGTAAAATAGAGGATTGGGAAACTATTTTTATTTTTGCAGAATCAAAGCTTAGAGGATGTTGGGTTCACAGGAATAGAAAACTAATGAATCCTAATAAACATAGTAAATCAAAGCCAAAACACATAAAAATGTCTAACTAGCATGTTATTATGCCACTAAGGATCTCAGTCTGATTCTTCATGCATAGGAATTTGAAAAAGAGGTCCAAGTGGGTTGTAAAATTCCTGCAGTTTTCCTTTGAAACTGAGATCAAACGAAATTTCCTTTGTTCCTTCTTTGTTACATTCCCTTGATACTACTAGGAAAAAGGCTACTAGTAGTGTTAGTTTTTTGGCTATCAGTAGCGCTGGTGCCCGTGCTACTACTACGGCGCTATCTAGCAGTAGCGTGCCTCTAACCATCGCTACTGCTAATACTATTAGCGCGCTCCTACCACCAACGCTACTGGTAAAGCAGCGCTGCTGCTACTACAAAACCCCTCGATGCTGCTTTTTTTGATGTATTCGTATTTTACAGGTTTATACATTACAACATACACATACAATGAAACTATAGGAAAAACGAATGTCTCATCATCATCATCGAAGTGGTACAGCATGGTCTCATCATATCATAATTATTGAACACAAATGATGTCGATCTCATCATCATCCTCAAATAGCGATACAAGTTAATGATCACATGTCTCTTACATTGTCACCGCAGACACAAGTTTCATCATCTACCTAAACTATGACATACGAGATAAGAGTGATCACGTTGAGCAAAAGTAGTATTATGTAGTAGTTTTTGCGGCGCTGGTTCTCAATCCCCTGTTGCGCTATGAATCTCAAGTAACTAGCTTCAGCTTCCGCTCTGCTATCAAACCCTTTTCGGCTTCCGCCCGAGAAGCGGTACACTTGGGCCTAACACTCTGGCCACAAATTGTACACACCCGGAACATGCCCTACATACACGGCATACCACTTCCTTGCCATCATTGATCTATATACCTGTTAGAGATGCACATATATAACTAAACAGTTATGAAATAGAAGCAGCATATATAGTAAAAAGTTAACAAATTTCATCGTACCAAAACTAATTAACTATGGTGCGACACCATTTACATCTAATAGTTTCATCGTACGGAGACATTCGAAGTTTTGTTGTACAGAAAGTAACATGTAACTAAACATACACATTGTTTTTAAGCAATGCACTCGTCCCATCTTTTCATATCCGGGAGGGTGCACCCAAGCTTAGTGAAAGGCG